CGGAAGGGATTCCTTCCGGTCGATGAGGGGTGTTTTACCTCATCGACCGGAAGGAATCCTTTCCCGGTCGATGAGACTTGGTCATGGGAGCGGGAGCGACGACTCCCAAACCCCCTCAAGCATGAGGGGCGGTTTGGGGCGCCGACTCCCCAAAAATAAATTAAAAAAAGAAAAAAAAACATTTGATGGCCGACTCCCAAAGTCGGCCATCTTTTGGAAGAACGACTCCCAGCCGACGACCCCTCGACCAAAACGGGAGTCGTTGGCGAAAATTTGGGAGTCGTTTTTCCAACCCCCTTATAATATTCAGCAAAGACTGGAATGAACATTTAGAAAAATTAGCCATTGTATTAGACAGAGTCATTAATATGAATATGAAAATATCCATGAACAAATGCCAGTTTGGATTTGCAGAACTGAAAGCCTTAGGACATATAGTTTCAGGACTTAGTATAGCTATTGATAAAAATAAAGTAGCAGCTGTGTTACTCAAACCTATGCCCAGTAACGTGAAAGAACTACAATCTTTTCTTGGCTTTGCTGGATATTACAGACAACATATTAAAGATTTTGCCAAAGTTAGTGGAAGTCTTTATAAAATTACCAGTCCCAATACTGCATTTGAAATGACAACTGAAAGAGTAGAAGCATATCAGAAACTGAGAGACTTACTTACCTCTGCACCAATTCTTTTTATGCCTGATCCATCAAGAAGTTTCAAACTATATGTAGATGCTAGTATGGAAGGACTAGGAGCAGCATTACACCAAATACAAGAGCCAGATGGAATTCCCAAAGAAGGAGTAATATGTTATATATCCAGAACCCTTAAAGACAGTGAGAAAAAGTATGGTGCTAGCCAACTGGAATGCCTTTGTCTTGTCTGGGCTTTAGATAAATTGTATTACTACTTAGATGGTTGTACATTTGAAGTTATTACAGATTGTAATGCTCTGAAAAGCCTTCTGAACATGAAAACACCCAACAGACACATGTTACGTTGGCAAATAGCCATACAAGAATGGAGAAATAGTATGACAATTTCCCACAGAGCTGGAAATATTCATAAAAATGCTGATGGACTGAGTAGATGGTCCCTTGAAAACAATGAGTTGAACCCAGCTTGGGATGGGGAAATTGCCGCAAAAATTATGTCTCTATTCCCAATGGAAAATTCTGTAGAAAACTATGGATTTGATGATAATAAAGATGTCATTGGTGTCAATGGATTACATATAACAGAAATGGAGGAAGAATTCTGGGATGAAGTTAGAAAAAGTTATGCTTCTAATAAAAACTTATCCACTATAGTAGAAATTCTTCAAAGTAAATTCAGACCAAATGAGTTGATTAACTCATTAGAAGAACCCTGGCTAACATCATTTAAAGAAGATAGATTTGCATTATATGATGGATTAATTTACCATAGAACCAAACATACCAGTGTTGTTACCATATGCTCACCTGAACACATTAACTTATTCCTGAAAGAATGTCATGATAATATTACATCAGCACACTTCTCTTATGACAGGACTATAGAAAGAATTAAGAATGTGGCATGGTGGCCCAATTTTAAAAATGACACTAAGAAATATTGTGAATCATGTGAAAGATGCCAGAAAGCCAATAAGGCAACGGGAAAAAGATATGGACTACTACAGGAAATTGAAGAACCCAAAGAAAGATGGTGTGTAATTAATATGGACTTTGTTACTGGATTACCACCTGGAGGACCCAATAACTTCAATGCTGTACTTGTAGTAGTAGATAGATTCTCTAAGAGAGCAAGATTTCTCCCTTGTCATAAAGAAGACACTGCCATGGACACAGCCTTACTATTCTGGAACTCTATCATTTATGATGTAGGTTGTCCTAGATATATTATTACAGACAGAGACCCTAAATTTACATCTGAATTCTGGAGAAACTTATATGATCTGTGTGGTACACAATTAAAATTTTCCACTGCTTACCACCCACAAACTGATGGCCTAGCTGAAAGAATGATACAAACTCTAGAAGACATGATCAGGAGATACTGTGCTTTTGGATTGCACTTTAAAGATAAAGACAGTTACACTCATGACTGGGTTTCCCTTCTTCCTGCTCTAGAGTTTGCATATAATTCTAGCAAACATAGTACCACCAATAAGACTCCATTTGAACTGGAAAGAGGATGGACACCCTGGTTCCCAAGAGATGTACTATTGAATAAAGCTGTACACATTCATCCCAGTGCCACAGATTTCCATTTCATGATGACTAAAGCAGAGAAATATGCCTCTGAATGTGTTAAACAAGCTGTAGATTATAATAAATCTAGATGGGATAAAACTCATAAAACCCACAAATTCCAAATTGGTGACCAAGTGTTAGTATCCACACTAAATTTTACCAACTTATCTGGACCAAAGAAATTACGTGATTCTTACGTAGGACCTTTTACAATTAAACAATTACACGGGAAAAATGCTGTAGAAGTTATTCTCACAGGAGAATTTGATAAGAAACACCCTACTTTTCCTGTTAGTTTAATTAAACCTTATGTAATAAATGACAATGAGAAATTTCCTTTAAGGAAAGATAATGTGAGAGTAGTAATTCCTCCATTAGAAGAAGAAATAGTGAAAATTAAGAAAATTTTACAACATAGGAAAATTAGACAAAATAATACTGACATTAAACAATATCTGGTTAGATATAGTGGTAGTAAAGAAGATGAATGGCTACCTGTAGACAAGATACCTGACTCAGATAAACTCCTCAGACAATACAGAGTAGACAAGAGAAAATGATTTGAGGATCATTTCCTTTTTAGGGGGAGGAAGTGTCAGCCACAGAGCACATTTCACAGTACGTGAAATGTACCTAGTAACTGCAATAATAATAATTAATTGAATACTGGAAAATAGTATACATTGTTGTTAGAATAATAAATAAATAAATATGTATTTACATTTAATCTTAATTCATAATTTATATTTAATAATTCTATAATTAACTGTGAAATCCCCTTGAGTATTGTACATATAATATCACTAGGATTTCACAGAAATATCATTAGAATAAAGTATTAAAACAATGTTTATTCTTATACATTATGTACATATTTTATAAGCCATAAATAATTACATATGTATAAAGAATCAGCTAGTAGAAGCGTGAAATGGATGAGGAATAAGCTATATACATTTATCTGAAGCTTACCCATCCTTGATCACATCATCAGGGCATCAGATTTCATCATAACCCTCTTGGATGGCGTCATCAGGACCCTTTTGTGCTCTAATTCAAAGCTTGCATAATTCAAAGCAGCCTACACGGGAAAGGAGCCCAAATTCTACATGCAAGACTGAATTATGCATGATGGACATGCATTTCTCATGATCACAAGCTTGCATAAGCAGAGTTACACGTATGCTACCAACTCTACAATTGCACAGCCCTTGTACAGTAACTGCAGCCTTTTTCAATTACATCAGAAATAACCCACAAAACTCAATTATGCATGTATGATCTCATGTCCTAGGACCTTCCACCCATGCATAGCACTGCACAGCTACAGCTCCCATCCTTACACGAAACTGTAGAGCTGCTAAGAAGCTCCCTAGTGCCCTGAGGGCCTCTCATCTTCCCCTGAGCCCTCTGTAGAATATTTAAGGAGCCCTGATTCCTACCTTTTCCCCCAAGGAAATTCTAGTAGCATCAAATCAACACTTGTACCATGATTATTAGTGATTCAAACCACCAACAACTTTACAACCCAGCTACCTTAGACCTAAATAGATTTACTTTGCTCAGATTCAAGGCATATCTACTTATCTCTATTGCATAAAGAATTATCCCCCAGGTTAAACAATTCTGGTCCTTAAGTGTTGATACACTTATTAATCTAGATTGTTGTTAAAAGACTAATCCCAAGTGAGTTGAAGAAGTCCTCATCTTGGAAGCCTATTAATCCATACAAGAGGATTGATCTGGATGCCCAATTAAATAATTGGATGAGTCAGCAGTAGAAGTACCATTCCTCACTGACTCCTCCCTGTTTCTTTTACAGGTTGAGGGATTTAACCACGAATAAACCTTCCCACTTACCATACTTGTTAACACTCAGAGCACAACCCTTACAGGTTAGTAGCATAGAGGCTGACAGCGATTCCCCCCATCTGCGCTAACGCTACATGCACAGGCCGCCAAAAACTGCCCGCTACGCTGCGTTACGGCCGTTTTTAGCGTAACGCAGCGTAGCAGCGCCAGCGGCGCGCTAACACTACACCAAAAAAAGGCTAGTGTTAGCGCCGCTACAAATTAGCGTAGCGCAGCGGCCGTAGCAGCGCGCTAACACTACACGAAAAAAAAAAAATTGGCGCCGCTACGCTAACGCTACATGGGCCTGTAGCGTAGTGTAGCGTAGCGGCCCACCGCTGAAGGTATGCTTATCTTGAGCCGCAGCTGGGAGAGATAAAGATTCCTTCCTAAGCTATTATTTCTACCAAATTATCAGCAGATAATACACCAGGCACAAGTCTTTATCAATTGAAAAGATTGGGGAAAATGTAAATTAATTTGAATATACAACACAAAGGAATTATCTTTTAACAATAACAGGTTATCTACATATAAATAAAAGAATAGGCTCAGAGAGCCAAACAAAGTGTCATGCAATCTAACGCTGGTGTCAACCTCCAATTCAACTTTGTTGACACCAACGTTAGACTGAGAAAAGTGCCTAACTCAAGCAACACCCCCCCAAAGGGGCAAAAGGTCATCAAAAGTCAAGCAACACCCTCCAACGGGGCAAAAGGTCATCAAAAGATCACCAAGTCCAACTCACAAAAATTGGGGGCAAATACTAGTCTCAGATACAAATTTTTCTCTACAAAAAATATACCTTGAGTTTTGGCCACATCCAACTTGTCCCCTAAGATTGAAATCCAAGGGCTCATATTGATATCCACATTATATTTATTTTGAGATTCTGAATTTAATATATTCAAGTTTTACTATGAAAATCAAATTTAAATTTATAATAAAACTATAGTACTTCCTGTGTGCTTTGGCTTGTTTTAAATTCAGATAGTTTCAGCTATCTAGCCAATCTCAACCAAGTTTGATGTTGAGTTGATGGTTTTGTGATGTTTGCTCAAGCAATATTCAGCAAGAAAAGAAAAAAATGATAAAACAGTTTTATGGGAGCTTAAACAATGTCGTAACAGCTGCGCTACACTAAAAAAGCCCCCTTTTAGAGTATCACAGTGGTCACACCGCTATGCCTCCAGGCAAAGTAGCTTTAGCTGACGTCAAAAGAGCTACCACTACAGCTAATCTTAGTGGAGTTAAGCTTTTTCTGCGGGGTATCAGCTTTAGTGCAGTGGGAAATTAACCACTAAAGCTGAAAAACAGCGCAGTTGTAGCGTTTTTAAGCTACAAGTGGGCTACCTACCCACTGCCAGCTTCGCCAAGCACTAAAAGCTGCGGGGTGCACTGCTGGCTGAGCGCTGCCAATACTTTGCAGAATTCATGGCAGCCTTACCTCCGACTTGAAAGGCTACCTCTCAACCTCGTACGAGTTTTATCCACCTCATCTCTCCCCCACCCACCCTGTCTGAATTAACATGGCTCAACCAATCAATCCACCTGTTCCATCTACCCCTCCCAATTCCTCAAACAACCCGGTCAATTATCCCCAATCCGTTTGCCGAGAATCAACTCGTCTTCGTACTCCTAGCTTACGGCCAGGGTTCATCTCCACCCAAGGCAATTCTCGCCATGCTCTAGTCCCCAGAAGTCCTGCTATTTCCACCAATCGGTCCCAGGTCCAAGCTCAAAAAAAGAAGAAGAATGTTGTAAATATTGTTGAAGATGATGAAGAATCCGATTCCAATACAAATTTCCCACCAAACAGCCAATCAAAAAGCCCAACAAACCTGTTGGCAGGCACCAAGCAAGTTGCCAGCCGTACTGGGATTGAAGTCATCATCAATCATGCTCAAGATTCGGATTTAGAAAATGAAAAGCACACCAAAACCCGTAAAAAGAAGGATCCAACTAAAGATAAAGACGGTTTTGATCATGCTCGGCTCTTCTTTTATTTGCCAGGTAGTGGTCCAAAGCAGTTCAGATATTTTTTTCTCTGTTTCCATTACCTTCTTGCAACCAAATCTGCCTACTTACTAGCAATCAAACTTCTCATCATTCCTAGAATCCCAACAACACTGCCTGGGCCTGTTGATGGTGCCCAAATGAATTCAAAGCCTCTGGAGGATCTTATTACAACCTCAAGTCACACCGGGATGGAGCGAACATCAAGGGCTCACTACAATCTGCTTGCCCCGGTCGCGGCAAAGCCATCAAAGAGGGAGCCCACCTTCCTCCCACTGCCGCTGAAGAAATAAAAACACAAGCCACTGGAGAGGGAACCCTGCTTGCGTATGCAACAAAGAAATGATTCGATAATAAGACCCTCAACAAATTGCTCATCACCTGGATTATTTGGCAATCTTTGCCATGGTTAAGAGTTGAAGACCTCCTTCTTCGGGTTTCATTTGATTATTCTCTCCACAATGCCAAACTATACTCTCGGGTATGGGCTGCCTTGAATGCCCATCAGCTATACCTTGAACAGCGAGGACAGGTCCTACATTCGATTGAGGTGAGTTCAATTTACCCTATGTTCTTTCAAATTCAGTTCAAATATAAATTAACAACCTGATTATTGTTTGATCTATTCTATTCTAGAGCTCAAAGTCAAAAATCTCACTGGTATCCGATGTATGGACAACCAAGGGAAGTCATAAAGCCTTTGTTGGTATGGCGTGCTGTTACATCACTCCTGATTGGAAATATGTATGCCAACACCTAGCGATGAAATACATTTCCTGGCATCACAATGGCAAGTACCTTGCTGTCCCATTTGCCAATGTGTTAGTGAAGCATGGCCTTCACCAAAAGATAAGTATTTTGATTGTTTTCTTCTGTGGTTTTCTGGTTGATCTGAATTGATATTGTAATTATATACGTCCTTGCACAGACAACAGACTCCGGGAGTAACAATTTCACCATGGCCAAAGGTGTTTCCTCAATTTTCCGTGTGGTCGACTCAACACATTGGGATGTTCAGAGGACTCGCCATAGATGTGTATGTCATGTCATTGCTCTGATCTTGGGAGCAGGCTTGAAGGCCCTGAAGATATCAAAAAATGTTGTCTGACCCGAGCGAAGCAATCAACCTTTCCCAACCCTCAGTACAATTGTTGAGGTCATGGATGAAGATTTAGAAAAAGAAGATGTAGTTGTGATTGCCGATGATATATCTGAAACAGAGGAGATTGATCCCGATGATTCTCAACCTGGAACTCAAGAACCTGGCTGGGAGCGGTACCCGGACAATATTACTGATGATGAGGAAGAAAGTGATGCAACTGGATTTGCTTTCACATTGAAGAAGGTAAGCAGAATTTATTATTTACTCAAACCACAGTGCATTCATTTTAAATGCACACTGCAACTGATACTCCTATATGGCTACGAGATTGATTACATATGTCGACGGATTGCTTCATCGCCACAAAAGCAGGCTGAGTGGAAGGTGTGGGCAAAAAAGCTTAACTATGTTGGTCCAGGAATAATTGCGGGCTATGGGATAAGGTTGAATATCACATACAAAAGCCGAAATCGTGCATATGGGGCTCGGAAGGTTATTAAGCAGCTTCTTGAGAACGAGTCCAATAAGTACACTGGGAGGTCAGCAGATAGGCATCACTTTAAGTCCTATGAGCTATCATCAAAGGAGTGGGAAGATATCAATGAGTTAAATCAAGTTTTAAAGGTAAACAGTTTGAATTCAATGACTATTGGTGTAGATTGAGAGTTAAGTCAATGGTTGTTTTTGTAGGAATTTTTGGAAACGACAAAGCGAATGGAGGGAGATGGGCCGAAGCTACCGATGGTCTTGTATGAATACGTGTGAGTGCTTGAAAACCTCAGAAAAAGGAAGGAGGCCGCAAAATCGACGGTATTGGAACCGATGTATGATCCTATGTTGAGAGTCACTCAGAAGTACATTGACCTAGCCCTCAAATGTGACACAGTCATCATTGTGACTTTTCTTCATCCCTCTTGGAGGATGATGCTATTCAACTCACAATTCAAGACTCATGTACCACAAATCACTAAGTTAATCCAAAAAGTATTTGACACTTGAGAAGCTGAGGTCGATTCACTTCAGCCGGAAATACCCCCACGAAACAAGATCAATTGCCTTCAAGGAGCACTAGCAAATCTGATTCCGGTGGGGAATAATTCAATTTCTACCCAGCCAATCCTGAAGCTGAACAAATCAACACTGAAATCCAGCGCTGCAATGATGGCTTATTCCCAATGGACAAGAAGGGCTGTGTGCTGGGTTGGTGGAAGATAAGTCCAACACAAGTTCATTCATTTTCTAAGTCTCTGATCAATGTCCATATTGGCATGTAGGCACATTTCCAAGATTTCCCAATCTTGGCTTCGTTGGCACGGGATTACCTGGCATGTGCAGCCAGCTCCGCAACTGTTGAAAGAACTTTCTCAGCGGCGGCCCAAGTTTGCGACTCTGGTAGATCGGCAATGGCAATACTAACAATTGAACATTGTATCAGCAGTCATATGTGGATCTGAAATGGGGTCAGGCTTGATGGAATATTTGCCGACTGCCAGCAAGTGATTGACGATACCCGCAAAAACCCCAAGTTCAGCAAATATCATGCCATGAAGCAATCAACTCACTCAAAAAAGAAGAAGTAGCTTCTTTCCCTTTCTCTACTTCTAAGTTCTATTTATGATTCTATTCTCTTATTCCATTTTTAGTAGTAAAATTCTAAATACAAAAAAAAACTTTGCATAATTCTGTTTTCTCTTATTCCATCTTGGTAGATCCTTTTTTTCCCTGGTTTTTTCCCCCTGTGTATGTAGAATAGCGGACAACTTATTGCTACGCTACCGCTAAAGTCAGCGGTCAACAGCTACGCTACCGCTTATTATAGCAGATTGGAGCTACTTGACCGCTAATTCTAGCGCGCTAAAATACAAATTTTTTTGCAGGGATCTCCAATAGCCCAAGCGGTGGTACTCTGACCGCTACCCTTCAGCGCAGCGCATTGATGGAAGAAACCGCTGCACTAACCAATACGCTGCGCTATCTGCAGCGCAGCTGTTACAACATTGGCTTAAATCAATAAGACTAGAAATGACAAATTCAAAAATTTAAAGAATGAAAATTTGAAAATAGTGGGTTTCACAGATGGATTCTTCTGAAGAAACTTGAAATTCCTTCTGGTTGCTTAATTTTTACAGGAACTCAGAAATGTTCTGACAACTTTCTCAAAACAAAAAACCAACTCAGTAGCCACCACATGTTGCTGAGGTGTTGAAATCATGGTGCTAGGAAAAAAAGTATGAAGCTCCTTTATTGGATTGGTTTCACCCTCATGATGTGAAGTGGGAAATATAACTATTTATGTGTTTTTTTTTTTCTTAAGACAAAACTGAGTCAAATTGCATTGTCTGAATCTTTGTACACATGCATCTTCAGTGGTTAGGTCCAAGAATGGAAAATTACATGTTTTAAGATATCTAGAGCAGTTTTTGTAATATAAATTTTCAGACAAAGTGACCTGGAATTTTATTTGAGGCTTTTGAGCGGTGTTTGGAGTTATAGTGTCTGGAAGTTGAGTGATGATTTTATAAGCTATTCATAAGCTATTTGTAGGGAGAGATTTCTTTGTGAGCAGACCAGAGAAAATGGAAAAATAAAAGACAAAAAACATGATTAACTTCTCCAGATGGAACTCAATTGATTTGCTTGATATGATTTTATAAGCTATTTGTTTGGAGAAATCATTTTTTGTGAACAGACTAGAGAAAATGAAAAAAGAAAAGAAAAAAAGCACAATTAAAATGGCCCATCAAAGGCCTGGAACCAGTCTTTAAGACATAAGAGTCCCTCAATTGTGTTTGGCTTTAGAGAGGATTGCTGCCATGAGATGATATGGCAGCCAGTAGAAAACACTTGATCCAATGAGGCACTAGTGGCTGGGCTGGGTAGGTAACACCAAGCCACCAAAGAAAGATTTAAAAGTAATTTTTCTTGGGCTGCCCAAAAAGGAAGGGTTTCAACCTCCTTGGTTTCAATGTCTTCATTCAGGTAGTGTTGGATCCCGGTAGAGATCGTTCTGCGGTACCCTTTGCTAGGTACCTAGTACCGCTTGGGGGGTACCCTTCACACCTGCCCCGCACCCGTCGGGAGGTGCCAGGTGCGGTACTTGGTACCTATTTTTGTGAAACATTGAACAGGTACCTAGGTACCGCTACAGGTACCCCCTCACTTCCCTACCAAAATGACGGTGTCCTTCTACTCCAAGAACTCCAAGAAGGTACCTTGGCTAAATGGAAACAGGGACTCAAAGATAACAAGAAGTCTAACCAAAAATCAAAAAGGAAGGTGATAGTTTTGGAAAATGATGAAGATTCTTCTAATTAGATATAATTTGTAGACAGTTTAAGCTTTAAAATAAAATATTAAATGTGAACAAATGAAAAAATTGACTTGGGATTGATGTTTTACAATAAATATGAAAAAAGGCAAGATTCTTCCCATTAGATGTAGATACTTGACAACAAATATGAAAAAAATGCCAAAAAAGTGACTTGAGTAATATTTTACAATAAATATGAAAATAATAATAATAATGAAGTAAGGTTCTTCCAATTAGTTTAAGATGTCTTACAACAAGTATGACAAAAGGAAAAACAGTGACTTGGGAATGATATTTTCAATAAATATGAAATTATAATAACAAAGTAGGATTCTTCCAATTTGTTGTCAACATTTCACAATAAATGTGAAAGAATGGAAAAAAAGTGACTTGGGACTGATATTTTACAATAAATATGAAAAAAAATAATAATAAAAAAGTGACTTGGTAATCTGAAAGTGAACCTAGGTTAGAAAGAGAGGGGAGGTACCCGCGGTACCCGCCAAAAGTACCGCCGGTACCCGCCGGGAGGTGCCTGGTGCGGTACTTGGTACCTATTTTTTGAAAAAAATCAACAGGTACCTAGGTACCAACAGGTACCCGAGTACGAACAAACGATCTCTAGATCCCGGATTGAATGCCTTAAATTTTGGGATCCGGCTGATACAATGCTAAGGAAAAGATCTACCTTTGGTGTTCAAGCAACTAGAAATCAATGGCTCTGAGGCATGTGTTTTGGGAGGTGTTTCCTCAAAGCTGGGTGCTTCTTTCAAAAAGATGTCTTCTATTTCTTTGACCGATACCCAACATGACAAGTAACCAAAAATAGGATCAAAGCCCCGGGGCTCCGGGGTTTGAGGCCTGAACCCCGGGGCTTGCTCCTCGGCATGAACCTCAAACCCCGTCCCGAGCCCCGGGGTCATGCCTTAATTATGTACAGACCCAAATTGTGCTTATGTAAAACCGAAGAGTCTTGGCAGCTCTTGGCAACTCTTGGCAGTGGGCAGTGGCAGTGCACGCATAGAGCCATATGACGTCATCCATGTCAGAAGTTGATGTTTCGTTTTCCGCTTGGAAAAAAAAAGAGAGAGAAGTCTCAGCGCAAGGGTCAAGCCAGACGGTCAACAGGAAAACCGGAAACACTGACATCAACAAAACAAAGCAACATGCAAACTCACCACCCACCCGAACAACAACAGCAATCCACAAAACGGCGTCGTTATCGTAAGTCTCTAACCCTCATAAAATGTCACCTTTCTAGTCCCACTCACTATCCAAAACGCACTAAAGTTCTAAGTAAATATGTACGTTGTGCATCACAGGAATACCCAGATCTTGCGATCGATGTCGAACCAGTAAGATCAAATGTGTCTTTGAAGTCAGTCCAATCTGCAATCCAGCTTACACCGTCACTCTCCACACACTCACTCCCCATTTGCCTTTTTTGGGATGGGCAACCTAGGACGGCAAATGTACTGCCTGCGTCAACCTCGGAGTGCCTTGTACCTTTGCTAACCCTGGCAGCCTAAGGGAGAGGCCACCCACTAGAAAGTAAGCCTATGGCCCCGCTCCCACCTTGCCAACAGTGTAAACAGTAAAAAAACAAAAACGAAAACGAAAACAACTTGCTGAATCGGTTTTGTTACTTGTTAAGGGATGTCGAACATCTCCAGGCTAGGATTCGATCGCTCGAAAGGCTCATTAACGCTATCGATCCCTCTTGTGATCTCTCCAACTTACCAGACCCACCGCAGCCTTACCCTTCAAACTTGAGACTTGGTCAGTCTAATTTTCCCAACTAACAAACAAAATCAACAAAGTTGCACGCATGCATACACTCATTCTGGTTATCAAACAGGCCGAAAGAGACAATCGGACGCCTCACTGACCTTACCTGAAAACATTCACCCATTCCGCAACCCCACCCAGACAAGCCCAGCTCAATCATCGGCTAATGCCCTCAACACGCTCTTCAACCCGACTCGGTTCCAGCTCCACAACCCGACCACAAACCTGCTACCATCACTATCCAAGCTCGAAGACCTTTCGCCCGTGGATAAGATCATCCGACACGAGCATCAAAAATTGAACTATGGCAATCCGGACTTCTATCCGCCCCCCGATCTCCAGCAAACTTTACTAGAGATCTACTTCCGCCAGGCCCATCCGCTCATCCGTACCGTCCATCCTGCCTCGTTTATCGAAGCCTTCCAGGCCGGTCTGGCCGAGACCGATGATGGCTTCAGAGCCCTCTGTCTAAGCATCTTCAGTATTGCTAGTCGGTTCTGTAAAGACCCCAGAGTCTACCTCGATCTCGAAGGGAACCCTCACACTTCTCTACATACCGCTGGTCTGCGCTATTGTATTTCTGCTGGCTCTTACCTTCTACGACCTATACCCACCCCAGCCACTCTGTACGAACTTCAGGCTTTCGTTCTGATGGTTATTTATTCTCTTGGTGCCGTCAGTCCCGGTCTTGTCTGGTGTGTATTAGGTGTTGCTCTCCAACGGGCTCAGGTACTTGTCTCTCTCTCCCCTTCTCATTGCGCTCTTTCATTCCCTCAAGTTCATCAAATCATGAAACCACAATGCTCATTCATATTTTGTTTTGATAAATTTGTAGATAGCCGGAGTTCACCTAGAAGAAAGTACGCACTGGACAGATTGTCCTATCCAAGACCATTATCGCCGCAAAGCTTTCTTTATCTTGTACGAATTCGATTCTGTGATTAGCGCCACGTTGGGCAAACCAGCCTACATGCAAGAAAGTGATTTCGATGTTCGTAAGTGTCAAAGTTCAGTCTGGTCTTGGCTGATTTGTTTGAATATCTTCGCTCATTCTTGATTTTTAAATCTTACAGTTCCGGGAGATCCAGATTTTGATCGCCAACTCGAAGCTTGTGTGAACCCATACTTAAATGGACGTGAAACTCCAGCAGATTGGGCGGTGGATGAAATCTTCCAAGCTTACAACATGATGAAAAGCTCACTTGGAGGATTAAAAAACTTACTTCCGGTGATCAATGTGATCAACGCTCAGAGAGATATGCACCCTGGCCTGAAATTCTCAAGTTGTGTGAAAGTGTTGATCAAGCAACTTGATAGTAGTATGAACACTTGCTTCGAGAAAATCGCCCTCAAAATTAATCTTCATCATCCGAACCCGAACCTGATCAGTGATTCCGCCTTGCTCTCTTCCGTCGCTGTGACCTCGTTAGTTCATTCTTGATTGTTCATGAAAATTAAGCACACATCAGTCAAAGGAGCTAATTCACTACCGTTTATATAGATGGTATCATGAATTCAGATTACTACTTCACCAAGTCTTATTCAACTCTAAAGAAAAGGGCCAAAGCAATGAACCGACCATAGAAGAAGAAAAACAGGCAGGGATTCCACGAGCCACGAATACGGTCAAGAAGTCGCGAAACCCATATCTAGAGATTTGTGTCGAATCGGCCCGGGAGATCATCCGCTTGCTCAACCAATTACACCAACGTGACCTGTTAGCACACGGCTTTTTCTGGATCCCCCTTCGTTTGAAAAACGCACTCGTCATTCTCATCTGTTCTCTCGTTAAACAACGTAAATCGTTATCTGAAGAGGACCGGAAACTCAGATGCTTAGAAATCTCTTTGGGCATTCAAATCTTGAACACATTGGCCCCTAGGTTTGTTTACTTGTTCTTTAAAAAAAACGGTACCATCTTGATTTAAGAAAAGAAGTTAGAAGGAGTTTTTTGATTGATTGATTGCTTTCTTTCTTTTTAAAATAAATAAATGTGTTGGGGTAATGACAGTACATATCTTGCGGGAAAATGTTCAAATATGGTGGTTCAGTTGTACGGGAGTGCGATCCAACACAACCAACAACAGGCCAACCGAGCGAGCTCATCATCGACCTTATCACCAAGTTCATCTTCATCAACCCCGCCAGCGCCATCGGGCACGACCCCGAAGAGCAACTCGTTTTCAGGCCCCTCTTCTGCGCCTTCGTCCCATGAGATCAAAGACCCTCAGCTCCGAAAATCTTCCATGTTTTCTCCCTCACCATCAACAACTGCTACCACAACAACAACAACTACTACGACTACTTCTTCCTCTACAACTTCGTATCAGCAGACGTTCAACGTTGATCCTCAGAACGGTTGGTGGGCTAATCAGTTCCTCCCCACTTCATCTGCTTCCCCATTCTCCAACTTCATCCCCGAACCGCTCCCGTCTGCATCTTCCCCCGACTTCAACGACCCTAATCTCAATCTTCTGAACTTTTGGCCCTCCTCTTCCCCCCCAAACCCCTCGACTTCAACTCATCCTTAAAGTTTTTTTCTTCTTCCTTTCTTTCTTTGTCTTTGTGGATGTACTCTAAACATTTCATGATTGTGTTTTTTTTTTTTTGTTTTTTTTGTTGCAAGCAGTTTTGGAATCAAGGGTTGGCATATATATCTCTGTAATATTAAAGTCCTTATGATCTCTTTACCTGAACCGGTGTTGACGTGTTGATATGTGTGTGTGTTTAAACATGTGCGTGTCTGAGGATTATAAACAAAATATGTAGATAGTGATACACGTAATCGAAGGATTGATTCAGTTAACTCTCTTCAACTTATCCTATCTTATTCTTACCATATAAATCCTTATTGCAGGCTACTGAAAGACAAGAATGAATCCAATGATAAGTGATTTAATTAGTGAGTATTTCAAAGATATTAAACAACAACACTTCATATCAGATCTGAACAACCATGTAGCTGTCCCAGATGGATGAATTACTAGGTTAGGTTGATTTTTCTCATCATCCTTCTGTTGGCTCTGGATCACATCTCCAAACTACATGCCACCACCGTCGCAGTGGTGGTTCATGGAAAAGATCAGGCATGTAAGTGAGCCTCACTAAACTTAGAAACTCCTCTCTACTTTGCTCCTAAGAAGATACTCACAAAGAGAACCAAATCGAACACAAAACTGGGGCAAACAAATCTGGAAATACTATGGATTGGTTCTGTCTGTTTATTTAGTCTGTTTATCTAATAGAGTTCAATTATCAATTCAACTTTCTTCTTCTTCTTGTTGCTCGTCCTCTAATTCTTCTTTTATTCAACCTACATACATACATATATCAAAACAACAATCTCCGGCCATGATCCTCCTTCCCCTCCAGTCCTCCTAATACATAACTTTAAAAATAAAAGGTTTAAGTAAAAGAAAACAAATCGGCTGTTTTTTTTTGTCTCTTGTTTTGATCAAGACCACCATTTGATAATCATGGACCAAAACAAAAAAAGCAGTAAAAATAATTGTTTACCTATGAACTTGTAGAAAAAATACAACAACAAAAATAGACTGGTCCAGAGTTAAGAATATATATTGATGATAGGAAGACGACCGGATGTGAAGATATCAAATGATCATCGACCAGCTAGTTTTTCTATTCTTCGTACTGTATAGATTAAACCAAGCTGATGTGGAGTCAGAAAGAAAACCCCTCAAAAAAGCAAGAGAAAAAAAAGAGGGGGGGTGGGGACGGACATCAGAAGCGGTAGGACTTTTGAAGTCCAACATGGGCCCTTCGAATCCGATGAGATGACGATGATTATCGGGGTCGATGTTGGCGGCGGATTTCTTATTTTTCTTGGAGGAGGAGCTTCTCCTGCGCAGGGACGATTTGCGTTCGACGGAACGGAGTCTGTCGTTGTCGTCGTCGTCGTCGTCGTCTCGGTCTGGGATGGTGTTTTTGTTGGGGGAGGAGAAGCTGGTGGAGTTGAGCGAGATGGTGGGCTGGATGACTGGCGACGAGAGCGTCGAGGAGGCCTCCGACGACGACGATGATGATGCCGACAAATTCTCGGCCGCTCGGCCGCTCTTCTTCTTGCCTAGCTTGCGGGGCGATGTGGGCTCCGAATCGGCCTCTTCTCGCGGTGGAGCCTGCACGTATTCATCGCAATCTTCAACTCTTCTCATTATGATCGCTTTGCTTGGGAGGGAAAGGTTGGACTCAACTTGTTTGAAGTATGCATACATCGGATAGTTGCCGAACGGCTTATAGAACAACTTGAACAACAGATAACCTCCTGATCAAACGATGATCATACATCGTATCACACAACCATCGACCGCCAAAAAAAAAAAAAGAGAAGGTAAACTCAAAACATCAACATTTGGGTTATTGTCCCTCCTATAAGAAACATTTGAGAGACAGAATGTAGGTTTTTCTAAGGGAGAAGAATCTTGAGAATCGAGAGAGCTTACCGACATCGATGACGGACAAGAGGATGATAGGGGCGATATAAGCCAACGACAGGAACCGGAAGATCGACGGGAAATAACTGAGCGGCCAAGGTAATCGGATCTCGTACCATTCAGGTGTCGGTCTCGAGTCCATGTTTTCTCTTTGTTGTTGTTTTTCTTCCTAGGCAGATTGATTCGTCCCTTGTTGTTGTGCTGTTGACCAAAGTAACGAAGAGATTGAAATGGTGGTGGTTCCCCTTGGTGCAGTTGACCATGTATTCTCACTCAACCTATATGGATTTACACTTCCACAATGATGTCATCCCCAAGTCCATACATAATCCCCATTACATATCTCCTTCTTGATCTTCAGCTCATGAAAAAATGGCCACTCACCCTTATATATGGAGCAATGTGCTAATGTTTTGCAAAAAAACCATTTTTGTTGCTCTGGCACTACATACATGCAAAAAAGAGAGTACTGAGTAGTAGAGGGCAATGGACAGGGAAGACACACCAAGTGTTAAGCCCTCTATCTTTTCATAATCCCAGAACCACATCACTGGTGTGAGATCATCTCTGGGCATATACATCACACACAAGATATCCAAACTGCCCACAGGAACACTTCTTGTCTCTATTTCCCTCACAAAAATATGACAGGAAATGCAAATACATACATACTGGATCAAAGTCATCACTTATATCTTCATATGTACCCTCTTCACCACAAAACTTGGTTGGTTTTGTTTCTTCTTCCAATAAAAATACACTGGGGGTGTTAAAAAAATTTAAGGATTGAAAGCAAGTCAGTGAAAAATTTATCAAGTGGAGAGAGAATAAAGTTTTCTATGAATCTTGTTGGGTTATCCATATGATATCGATTCCTTTGGATACACATGTCTTGCTTAGCAGTTTTTTTTGCTTTCTATGTAGATAAAAATTAAGCAAAATGTAACTTGAATGGTCTCTGAGTGAATCAGAGTGACATATTCCAGGAGTTGAAGATCTAACGCAGTCTGGCGACTGATTACCATGCGTTTTGCAAGTCTCTCACTGTGACCGAGGAGGTACACCCTAGTTTGCATGTACAGAAACATTGCCCGTCAAAAGACGGAGCTTTGTGATCACTTCACCCTTGCTCAGAATCCGATCGAATGATCAAGTTTTTGATCGGCTCAGATCACTGGGGAAAGAGCGTTTGCGATCATCACACCCTCCGATTGCCAATCAAGTGCTTAGAGACATCATCTTAGCTCACAGGGCACCAGGAAACCTTTGACTGATCGGGGAGGACGGGCGCCATTACTACTCTGACGCTTTCATCCCGGACAAGGTGGTACGGATTTTTGAAGAATCGAGAGGGTCATGAGGAGCGAGAAAATGAATGCGTCGGAATCTCATCCTCGAAATCGTAAAGAGAGCGTCGCGGTACCACAAGAGGGCATGTACCCTTTGACCACAGGGGGTCCAACATCATCAGATGCGCTGTTTGATTTTTGTTTGCTACTTAAGAGTCTCACTGGGGGTTTTGACACTCGTTTATCTATATGACTTTGCTTCGCTTGAATGTGTATCTAGCAACCAAGAAAAGAAGTCTCCGATACAGAGAAAATGAAGGCTCGATGGTCTGGAGAGGCTTTCGAGGTTCCTAGGTGGAGCGATATCTAGTGCTTCCGGGCGGCTGTTTTGTGGGTAGATACATGCAGGACATGAAAATTAGGTAGATGGAAGATTCGTCAGAGATGATGGTTTTCGGCCAAATGAGAACGATAGCGAAAAGAAGAGATTTTCGGCAGTGCCCGATCAGAAAATGAACGTACCATGAGGATTCCTTGGATCCTTCGCATATTCGGGAGCTACAACAAACATTCAATACAAGGTCATTTTACGAGTTAAAAGTGGTAAAAAGGTGGAACCAAAACAAGAAGGAAGCACCGAGAACGATGGAGACGAGAGGATGACTCACATTTAAGCATCGCGTTTTGCATCTTGTTGACCAAGTAAAACGTGATCGCTCCGCCGATCATGAAATGGCTCATCGGTTTCCACACGGGTGTCGGCCATGCTCGGACGCCAAAGAAAGACTAATCCATCATCATTATCGTCATCATAGTGCATAGTAGTAGTAGTAGAAGTACCGAGTCAGCGAGAAATGCATATCGATCAGATGGGTATACATGAAACGGATTTATAAAAAGAGTCACTTGTCAGTCTTGTTTTGTTTTTTTTTTGAAGAAGAAGAGCAGATATTAGACATTCTGGACAAGGTTTGATTTGCATACCATGTTCGTTTTTCTGATTAGAACGATGTTTCGAGAAGACTTTTGGGGAGTGATTGAGCTTGCAACGGAGTTGAGTGTGTTGTGTTTTGGTGGGGTGCAGGTGAGTTGTGGTCATACTTGCTGAAGAGAGGACGGAGACGCCCGGACTGGATCGACCCGGGTCGGGTCCGGGTTTCCAAAAGAAACACGGCCCAAGCCCGAACTATATTCCACTACTGGTCGGGTCAGTTTGAGTTGCTGCCCAATCCCCGACTCGGCACACAGGCCAAGAGACTTGACTTGGTAAGATAAGTGAACCTAGCAACAGATGATTGGTTAAACAGAAAATGATATTCCAGATGGAGAAATACATGAATCCAACAAATAATAGAGCCTCTCTAAAAGAGCTTCTTTTAGAAATCCTCTGCCAAAAAAAAAAAATGATTTCCTCCTGAGACTTAGACTCATGATTCATGAAAATCTGAGATGACATGGGCAATGTCAGCTTTCTGGTATGATTGATTCACTCCGAAAAATCAGTACAACAATTCAAAAAAACAAAATTATTGGGCCATTTTTTCTCCTGTGCAAACATGTAGCCAAAACAAATGAGAAACAAAGAGAGTATGTACACGCATTACCATACACTCCAGTTTTATAAAGATACAAAATTCTGCACTCAATTATTGGATGTGCATACATCCTTCCCTGTTTCTTTTCTGGAGGAGAATTGTCTTGAGATGAAAGAAGACTGGGCTTGAATAATACATAACTATATTCCATTATTTTTAGCAAATGAGTCTCAGGATAACAATCCAAATCGATCCACCCACATGTTTTCCACAAATCCTTAGGCAGTGTGTTTTTGTGATCTTAATTGAGTGCAACAAATACCCTCAAGTTTCCAAGATTTTAATTGTCACAAATTGTCCAATTCTGGCATCACTCTGGATGTGGACACACCTGACTGGTGTTTATTTTTGGGACAACATGCTGATAGATTACATAAAAGTGCTATGTGAACACATCCACACCACAAGAAATGATTGGTTGTCTACCTGCAACAACACACGGTGGAGCAGACAATGTTGAAATGGAAGGAATCACAAAGGGTGGAAAATGGTGTAAACCAGCTTATGTCAAGGTTTAATGGACTCAGAAATCCGATCCAAATGCTCAAATTTTCAGTGTCAAAATCTCTTAAATACATGAGGGTCAAGGCGGACATGCCAGAGTCCAAATTTCAAAAAGCGAATCAGTATAACGATAATTCTTTAACAAAAAGGGGGTAATTATGAAAATGAGGAGGATGGGAGGTTTGATGATTTACTGTGTTTATGGCTTGAGGACTTTGTGTGGAAGAGCCAAGACTATCCTAATTTCACTCGACTATGCATCCCCTGACAGCCAAATCCGCTCTCGTGACGATTCTTACCTAAAATATAAGAGACAACCATGAAGTCAAACTCCAAGGCTACGTCGTACCACATAAAGCCACAAAACAGACTGTTTCACCCAGCACAATTTTTTACAAAGTCACTTACCTTTAGAAGGCCAGCGGGGCAACAGACTCTAGACTCCCGCGCATAGTTGCTGCATGCTGCTGGGACTGGTATAAGGAAAAAAGCAAAAAATCAGATCAAATCAAATCAAATCAAACTCGGTTCAAACGGGACTATTATTGCATGGGGGAGTAATCCTTCATAACCTAAGAAATATACTTACTAACGCGCGAATTAGCATTGCCGAAGGGCAGTTTCTCAATACAACCCGGATCAAAACTAGGTTCACATCCAAGAGCTACCTTGAAGCCGATCGAGGAGACAAGTAAGATGGCTGCTTTGAAGAACTGCATGTTCGTGTAAATGATAATAACGCAAGCGATTTTTTCTCTTTTTTTTTTATGATCGGACTACAAATACTTGAGTGGGTATAAAAACTCGGTTCGTCCGGGTATCAATAGATGAGGGAGGAGCTGGAGGACGGAGAGGAAGGCTTTTTGTAATCCGACAACAAAGGAGGCTGGACGCAGAGGAATTCGGCGGACGGTTTTCTCGAGAAGAGCCAGCTACATACATACACTTTATGTATCTCATACATAGGAACCGGTGGGCAGTGCTCCAGCCTTCCAGCCTCCAGGATCACACAATGATGGCTAAAGCCAGTACAGGGCCCCCCATATCTGCTCCATATAAAACAGTTCTCGCAGACTCTTACACAAATAATGGCAATTCAAAAGAACCATTTCTCCACACATATACCTACAAAAATGTGCCAAGGATCACTTCTTCTTCCTGAGACTGGTTGCTATGTAGAGGGGCAGTCCGTTATCCTCTAGTCGTGCGTGTCTTATATGCTCTCTACTAGTGTCTAGGGGCCGATTTGCTGCCTATATCAAGTTTTGGAATTTATTATACTATTCTAAACAACTTCTAGAGCTATTATTGGCTCATTGTTTTTGGTAATTTCTGGGGGTGTATTTGAGGCAGTTGGGCGCCTGGATTGTGAATCCCCATTGATTGAGGCTGCTTCTGCCAAGGTCTATGATAACATAATGGCTTTGAGAAGAAAAACATAAAATAAAAATCCAAACCTTAATGATGAAAATCTAGAATTTTTGAGTGAAGATACTGCAAATCTATCCAAGCATTCTTCAAATCACAAGAGCTGAAAAAATGGGAAATAAAGGGAGCATGTACACATATTACCATGCACTGCAGCTTTATAAAGAAGACACAAAATGCTGCACTATATTGGGTGTGCATACATCCTTGTTCCTTTTTTGGAGAGGAATTGCGTTGAGATGAAAGTAGACTGGGCTTGAATGATACATAACTATATTCCATCATTTTTAGCAAATGAGTCTCAGGATAACAATCCAAATCAATCCAAGCACATGTTTTTTCCACAAATCCTTAGACAGTGTGTTTTTGTGGTCTTAATTGAGTGCAACAAACAATCACAAGTGTTTGAAATTTTGATGGTCACAAATTGTGCAATCCTGGAATCACTCTGGGTGTGGACCAGATTCTAGAGCAACATTCCTGCCCACCTGACTGGTGTTTTTTTTGGGACATGCAGATAGATTACATAAAATTGCTATGTGAACCACAAGAGACGATTGGTTTTCTACCTGAAGACAACACACGGCGGAGCAGACAATGTTGAAAAGGAAGGAATCACAAAGGGTCGCGGAAAAAGGAGTACACTAGATGAACCAGCCTTCAAGGTTTAATGAAATCAGAAATCCGATCCAATTGTTAATTTTTCCTTGTGTCAAAATTTCTTAAGGACATGTCAGACTGCAAAATTCAAAAAACGAATAAGTATAACGGTAATTCTTTAACAAAAAAAAGGGTAATTATGAAAATGAGGAGGATGGGAGATTTGATGACTTACCGTGTTGATGGCTTGAGGACTTTGTGTGGATGAGTCAGCCTAGCTGTTGACTTTGCATCCCAAGGGAACCAATTCCTTTCTCCTGATATGTTGCTAAAATATAAGAGACAACAATAAAGTCAAACTCGTTGTACTTCATAAAGCCACAAAACAGACCGTTTCACCCAGCATATTCACTTTCAAAGTCACTGCTTACCTGTAGAACACCAGCGGGGCAGCAGACTTCAAACTGCAGCTGATGGCTGCATGGAGTTCCTGGGACTGGTATAAGATCATCAGATCGGTTGAAAAAAAAAAACCCCCGAATCAATTACTCGGTTCAAACAGGAATATTATTGCAGGGGGAGTAGTCCCTTATAACGCAAGAAATATACTTACTAACGGCCGAATAGTCACTGGCGTAGTCCGGTTTGAAAGCGCAACCCTTCTCAAAACCAGCGTAACATCCAAGAGCTACCTTGGAGCCAATCGAGGAGACAAGTAAGATGGCTGCTTTGAAGATCTGCATGTTCGCGTAAATGATAATAACGCAAGAGACTTTTTTTGTTATGGTCGGACTACAAATACTTGAGTGGGTATAAAAGCTTGGCTCGTCTGGGTATCAATAGATCAGGGAAGAGCTGGAGGACGGAGAGGAAGCCTTTTTGTAATCCGACAAGTTATGTACAACAAAGCAGGCTGGACGCAGTGGAATTCGGCAGACGGTCTTCTCGAGTCGAAGAGCCAGCTACAATTTACTTATCTCATACATAGGAACCGGTGGGCGGTGCTCCAGCCTTCCAGCCTCCAGGATCACGCAATGATGGCTAAAGCCAGTACAGGGCCCCCTCCATATAAAACTGTTCTCAAAGACTCTTGTATACGAATCCCTGCCGCACAAATAATGGTGATTGAAAAGAACCATTTCTCTATAAAAAATGTTCCAAGGATCACTTCTTCTTTCTGAGACTGGTCGCTATGTAGAGGGACAGTCCGTTATCCTCTAGCCGCGCGTGTCGTATATGCTCTCTACTAGTGTCTAGGGTATATCAGTATAAGCACACATCAAGTTGTTGAATTCTACAAGCTATGTACGTCGCGACGTGTTGACGCGACCCTCTTTATTATAAATTATAGTCTCTCGTTCCTCTTAAGGGATTTATTTTGCAAACTTGTTCTTTTGAATAAATCCTCTTTTTCAGTTTTGTCACAACTCCTCAAGACAATTATTTAAGAGATATCCGTGCTCAGAAGCCGGATTATTTATTACAATAGCGTCCTTCTTTCAGGCCATAAATATAACACAGGATCTTGGAAAATCGATCTTCAATTTCAAGAATCCCCCTCGTGGCAAACGGTGCTGTTCACCGCCTTGCGTCGTGCGCATACATGCGAATCTAGTATCATCTTCCGAATCGGATGCTTTATAATTCATGTGATTTACCAGGTACGCCATGAACCCCACCAAGGCCCAGCCCCAAGATATGATCACTGCAAGAAGGAGGATGTGGCGTGAAGGTTTAAGAGGGGTTATTTCATTCTGCCGGATACATCCATATCCTGATCAAAAGAAGCAGGCTTAGATTTACTGGCCAGGACTGTCTGATGGCAGAGCTGAGCCAGACTGATTGGATGGATGGATGGATATTGTTGGCTTGCGTGAGTGCTGTCTTTTGAGAGAAATTGGTAAGGACTCATGCGTCAGGTGGAGGCCATCAATATCATGAAAGAGCTGAGCATGGGTCTGAGGGTGACGTGCACAAGAAAGATAAGCCAATTCACACGGACTCGGATCATATCACAGCTTGCAACTTACCCGAACATCCATCTATTTCAATACGTCGGGGAGGATGGTGTGTGACATCATCACAACTTGAGACGCTTCAAAAACCATCCTCTGGCCAATCGACAGTTTGTCCCCCCACTATAAATTCCGGACAGTAAACTGGTACAATAATCCTCAGCTTAATCCTCTTCTGAGATCAAAAAGCTGTCCAACTCGACTGGTTTTAATCCTTCACAAAGAGAAAGTGCTATCTCAAGCCATCATCATGTCTCCTCCAAGGTTCCAGTAAGTCCATCCCCCACCCAGTTTCCTTCATGGCTTGTTTCATGATGCCCCTTCGTTAGCAAGGCAGAGAGTACCACAGGAATATAGATAGATTCAAATGTGTCTGCTTTTGTGATTTCTTTTTCTGGCCCGCAGAATCAAGGACATGAAGTTCAACCGTCTGGGCCGATCGGGTCTGCGCGTCCCGGTGTTCTCTTGTAAGTGTAACATGACCGTCTTCATTAGCTCACAAGACCGATTCGGCCCACATTCGAAGTGTGCATATCGCGGGAGCGTCGAAAGTAATATACTCATCCTATATGACGATGTACGTCATCAATAGATGGCGGTTGGTTGACCGTCGGATCAGTGGCCACCGGCGCGGCCGTTAAGGAACTCATGCAGATCGCTTGGGATCATGTTCGTTTTATATATATCCTCTTCTTGCTTCTCAGGCACAATTTTATACGTTCATCAAAAAACAAAAAAACCAACTCTTGTTCTTTTTTGCCTGGAATCTATGTTCATTGAAAAAATTCTCATTGGAAAACAGGGCTGCAGTAAGTTTCTGTTTATCTCGAGATTGATGAAGGTCGAGTCAAGATGCTAATGAGAATGATTTCTCGATTGATTGATCATGATTATATGGATGGAAAAAAACAAATATGAACACATTATAATGCGACAGATTATTTCGACAATGCGGAGATCTATTCGAATGGGCAATCGGAGCTGGAGATGGGGAAGGCATTAAAAGAGCTAGGGTGGGAACGAAGCGAATACATGGTAGCGACGAAGGTATTTTTTGGGACAGGGAATTCAGAGGAGCCGAATGGGCGGGGTCTTTCGCGGAAGCACGTGATCGAGGGAGTGAAGGCCTCCCTAGGGCGACTCCAGCTGAGCTATGTGGACGTCGTCCATGCCCATCGTCCCGACCCCACCGTCCCCATGCTCGAGATCGTGCGCGCTTTCACCTATCTCGTCGATAAGGGCTTCTCCTTCTATTGGGGCACTAGCGAGTGGAGCGCTCAGCAGATCCAGGAAGCCGCCACCGTCGCCGAAAAGTATAACTTGATCGCCCCGGTCGTCGAACAACCTCAATACTCTCGTCCGTCTAATAGTCTAGCTTGTTATCTGGTTTTCTTTTGGCAAGTGACCACAATTAGTGTATTCAAAATTGATTGCCTTCTTCTTTGTCGATTCTTGATCTGTTAGTGCTTCACAGGGAAAGATTCGAAGTAGAATATGATCCAATCTTCAAGAACTTGGGATGTGAGTACATAATCATTGGTGTTCACATCTGTTGTTTTTCTACTCCAGACATTACTTTGTAGTTACGTTTAAAGTTTTTAAAGGAGAAGCTGACCGTTTTATCTGTTTTTGATTGGATCAGATGGATCGACGATTTGGTCGCCATTGAAGAGTGGAATCCTCACAGGCAAGTGAAGCCTAAGGGACCATTAAAATCAGACATATCCCAAGTGAGGGATAAAGAGTCATCACTGATTGATTTGCCGTGATGATGATGAACAGGGAAATACAACGACGGGATCCCAGCGGGCTCGCGAATGGACATCAACAAGGAGTTCTTCAAAGACTCGGTGGCCCGCTTACAGGCCGAAGAAGGCCGCCAAGAGATCGAGAAAGTCAAGCGATTGACCCTGCTCGCGCAAACTAAGCTCGGCTGCTCCGTCGGCCAATTGGCCCTCGCGTGGGCCGCTAGTAATAGCCACGTTAGTACCGTCATCCTCGGCGCTACTAAACCCGAACAGTTGAAGGAAAACTTCGGCGCTTTGAAGGTCAGTCCCATGATCTTCTTGTTGTTGTTTTTCATACTTTTCTTGCACGCCTTAGCTGACCATCATCCTGCTTCTTTATCTTTTGCTCCTCGCCTTCCTCCCCCCCTGCTTTGAAAGATCATCGATAAATTGACCCCGGAAATCAAGAAGGAAATCGAAGCCATCGTCGCTAATGCGCCCACCCATCCCTCCACTTATGGCAGATAAATCAATCAAAAATTGCATTACTGTATCCTGTCAAGTTTTCAGTCCAAAAGAAAAAAAAAAGTTCGCAAAAAAAAGCATGAAGACTGAAGATAGTGACCATTGAAAGAAAAGTCGTGTAACCTACTCAGAATCTTACTATGCATGTATGTTTATAACATAAGAGAAGGATTTCTTTTCGTATGATGATGATGACGATGATGTTTTTCTTATCCCCACTCATCTATATTCTCAAGCAAGTTGTTATACTATAGTCCCCAAGTATAGAAAAGAAAAAAAATCATTGTCGTTCATCTACTGCAGATCTAATTTTCTTCTTATTTTTACGAGATGGTACATAGATGTTTTTGGTATTTGTGACTAGTGAGTGAGGGAAGTCAATCTGGAAAGACGACAAGAAAGTGGATGGTGGAGTGGACCAGAATTGAGTAATTCGGGCTGATGGGCCCCTCAAGATTTATCGCGCAGTGGGCTTGCTGAAAGATAAAGTGAAATCCAGCGGGAGTGTACTGGGCTCAATTTGTAGAGAGGACTTGATCGGAAGTCGCCTTTGGGCCTAACTTAACTAAAATAGTGCGATGCCAGTCAAGTCCAAAATTTGAAAGTCTTTTGTCATTGGTCTACATTTTCCGTCTCCCGAAAAATTCAAAATGACGCGGTTGACAAGTTAAAGATAAGAAGATCGGAAATTGCAATGTAAGACTTCCGAGGGGCGCCTGACTGAAATTTTATAAATGTGTTTCCAGCGGTTACAACTGCTAGTGCTGAAGCATTACCCAGCGTCTGCAACTGCCATCAGGAATGTCATACCAGTAAAGCGCATCCTCCGGCTAAAAATGAAAGACATGGGGGTCACACTCCACACACCTGGTGAATCAACGACAAGTTGAAATGCAATTTCACTAACCTTGATCGTATCGCGTTTGCAACACCATAGATTGCCGTCTGGGATTTCAGGCATATCCATGCAGTTGGGGCCTCCGCTATTGTGACCTGATGCTCTTGCGCCGAGTGGATACGGAGATGAGGTGAAGGTTATGTTAGTCTGGGTATGTATGTAACTTCAATCATCGTCGATGCAGATTAGAAAAGAGATAAAAAAAATGAAGAGACTCATCTAGGTTTCCTGAATTATGGATCGACTCGCAGGCCTGTTGAGGAAGATCCGGAGGGCATCCCCAATCTGTTCTAGCAGCAGTTGCCATACCGAAAACCATAGCCAACAACACGAATGCCGATCTGAGCACAGACATAACAGGAGGTTATAAACTAAAGATGTTTTGGTGTGCAGATCTACAAGGGTTTGGAGTGTATCTTGTATTAATCTATAAATCTGATGGAGGATGATTTTTAGGGAAAGCAAAAGGTAACGGTACCGCGATAGGAACTCGAGACGGTAGCTATAGTCAACGTCGGAGAAGGATCCGTTGTCTGGCGAAATCAAATGGAAAGGGTGAGGCCCATATACACACATATATAGACATACCAGGCTGAATGAAAGACCCACATACACACATCGAACATGAACAAATATGCACAGCTTGTCAAGATGGCGGCCTGGTACATATATCGGCTTCTAAGGGCGAATGAAAGAGGGATCGAAGACCTCAGAATCGCTAACAAATGGTGCTTGGCATCAATTAAACAGCCGGGCGAATCGAAAAAGAGTTGGACGCCCAGACGGCGCCCCAGCCGTCTCGGCGCCAGGACGACCGATAACGGCGCCATCGGGGCTCGCAGCCGCCGAGGCGCCATTGTCCGCTTCATCTTGGCGCCCACGGGCTTGGTGGCGCCGTATACTGGCATTTGAGGGCGTACTTGGGGGTGCCGCCCCCGTGAGCTCATGAGATGGCGCCGCGGCGGTGCAAGGGTCACCGGGCGGTCCCACTGGCGTCCGATCTGTTAAGCTATGAATCCTAAAGATGAGAATGATAGTGGAAAACTCCCCCAAGGGGAAAGTATATTTCGTAGAGATGAAAACTATATATAGGTTTGTAAATACATATTTTGGTTGATGAGAAATAAATGCATAGTAGAGTATAAGATAATAAAATATGGGAAAAACAATGACATGTGAATGAGAGAGTATAAATATATAAATAAGTCCATACTTTGACACAACACTCCCCCCCTCATCAACCACAAAAGAAAAGCAAACTGAAAATAAAATAAAAGAAAAGAAAGAGAAGAGAAAAAGAAAAACAGATGAGGTTAAAAATAAGAAGAAAGTAAAGGTAGAAGAAGGACAAATAATGAAAGCAAGAGAGAAGATAAAATAGAAAAATAAAAAATTTGAAGAGAAAACAGATAAGGAAACAGAAAATATACAACTGATGAAAAGCACAAAGACCCGGTGAAGGAACCAAAGCGTCGACAACTGTGAAATATAACAGATGCATGGTTAGCTTCTGTAAGAACCAATCAATCCTTGTCCGGTAATAAGGGTTGCGGAGGGAGACGAACGGATGCGGGGGGTGCATGTTCATCGCAGCCAGCGCATACTTCCCCCCCTTTACTTGCTATAGTGTTGGACTGACGCCTCAGTCCTAAGAGTGACAAAAGCTCTGAAACCTTTCGCCATCCCAGCGCCTTCGTGAGAATGTCGGCGAGCTGATGATGGGTCGAAATCCATTGAAGACGGACCTTCTTGTGATACAGAAGTTCATTGATGGCGTGGAATTCCCTGTCGACATGTCGATGTTCCTTGCGAGTGCCGCAGTCCGAGCTGATTTGAACAGCCGCCTTGTTGTCGCAGAGAATCAGTGGCGGAGGAAGGGAGTAGAATGACTTGAGAATCGAGGATAAACAGCAAGCATCCTTTGAAGCAAAGGACAGAGCCATATATTCTGCCTGACAGGTCAAACGAGCAACACAGGTCTGTCTTTTTGACGACCATGACACCGGCGCTCCCCATACAGTGGAGATGAAACCATGTACCGATCTGGAAACTTCGCCGCCCCAATTCGCATCAACGAAAGTCTTGATCCCATCTTCAAAGTCTGCGGTCGCCACAATCGGAAGTGCAAGATCTTTACTGTACCGGATGTATGAGATGAGATGTTCCAGAGCCACCCAATGAGAGGAATCAGGTTTCATCGAGAACCGGGCAAGGAAATGAACAGCAAACGTAATATCAGGCCGAGATCCCTGAGCCAAATACAAAAGACAGCCGATTCGAGAAAGATAGTCTCGATCCATTGATCCATCGGAAAAATTGGAGACTAGATCTGTGGAGGCAATTGGGGTTCTTGTGCAAATGGAAGACTGTTGTAGACCGACAATTTTCTCGACTAACATAGGCTGGTCAATTAAGAATCCGCCAGAAGTCTCTCGAACTCTCAGACCCACTATACTAGACAAACGTCCATCCCACTTCAGATCAAGTACCGTAGACAGACAAGCCTTCAAAACCTCCAAGAGCTGCGGAGAACTAGCCGTAAAAAGGCCGTCGTCCACATGGATCCAAAGAAAAGCGCGATCTTCACCTGAACGATACACGTAAGTTGATTGATCCTCAGCATTCGGGACGAAACCAATTGTATCTAGACGGGACTTTAGATGAAGCCACCAACAACGAGCAGCTTGCCGAGTTCCGTAAAGAGCCTTCCGAAGCTTGAGAACACATCCAGGTTTCACAGAAACACCAGGAGGCGGCCGAATGTAAACTTCATGATCAATGTCGCTATGTAGGAAAGCGCTCTTAACATCGAAAGATGCAATAGGCCACTTGTTTTGAGACGCCATTGCCAGAAGGAGTCGGAGGGAGGAGAAAGTCGGTGTTGGAGCAAAAGTCTCGTCGAAATTCCGGCTGTGTATTTGTTTGAAACCCTGAGCCACAATCCGTGCCTTGAACTTTGTGATATCGCCCTCCTGATTTCTTTTCAGAGCAAAAACCCAACGGCATGTGAGAATATCCCAACATTCAGATTCTGGAACCTCCTCCCATACGCGGAGTTGGACCATCATTCCCACTTCAGCATCGATAGCCGCGGACCACTGCGCCCGGAGAGTTGAGTTGACGGCCTGATGATAGGTGTTCGGAGCATCAGAACTGAAAGGAGAAACCGATACCGCAGAGTCCAAACAGGCATCTTGAAGTTCAAGCTCCTGAATTTGACGAAAATCTCCCAGAGAATCCACACGGATGGAGTTTAAAATCGCATTCAAACCGCCGGAGTTCGTCATCTGAGAAGGCAAATCATCCTCGTGGAAAATCACCGACGCCCCTTTTTCCAATTTTTTCGAGACCGGATCCCACAAGAGCCAGCCATGAGACTCATCCGATATTCCAACGTGAATCAAAGCCGTGGATCGCGGAATGAATTGTTTTTTGTAGTTGATGTCGTGCAAGTACGCTCGACAACCAAATACCCGTACCATGTCAAGAGACGGTCGTTTCTTCAAGGCGATTTCATACGGCGACTTGTCAACACCCGTGTGTACCACCCGATTGAATATGAAACATGCCTGTTTCATCGCCAAAAACCAAAGAGAGTTCGGGAGCTTGGCATGAATGATAAACGTGCGGGCCATGTCCAAAAGAGTGCGGTTAGTCCTTTCAACACTGCCATTTTGATGATGTTCATACGGGATGCTCAACTCGTGCCGGATGTTATTGTCCTTCAAAAACTTATTGAATTTATTCGAAGTGAACTCGCCAGCGTTATCGGATTGGATAGCCTTCACTGAAATAGAAGTGCGCTTGTTGAATTCAAGGATCCAGTCCGTAACCGCTTTCCCGGCCTCAGCCTTGGTCTTGAGTCCAATTACCGACGTCAATCGTGAGAATACATCATGTATTACTAAGCCATACGTGCTCCCATCTAATGCCGCTGGAAAGGGGCCAACCAGATCAATGGCGACCAAATCACCCGGCTCATCAACAACTTCTCTAGACGGAGATTTCACAGGGTCATGGGTGCTTTTGGCTAACGAACATGAATGACATTTCGACTTCGGCAACGGCAACTTTTTTATTGGGATACCAGAGACGCATTGAGTAGCGATAGTGCGATTGAAAAAACGGACGGCAACATGGCCTAATCGAGCATGCCATAACGATGAGGTGTTGAGAGCAGATAAAGAGGGATCACAAGAGTTCAGAGAAGCATTTGAAGAAGAAGAAGGTATGAACCATTGATAATTCTTGATGTAAGTCGGAAAAGAAACATTATTCTGAGAGAAAACAAAGGAGCCATTGACAAAACCAACAGAGCCGTCCCAACGGTCGAAATAACCAACCGAGATCACAGTTCCACAAACCCGAGGAACCAGAAGCACATCCTTTAAATGTAGGTTGCCATACTGAGTGGGGATGATGGCGTCGCCTATGCCGTCTACGGAAATGCGGTCTTGGGAGGCAACGCGCAATTTCACATTAGCGGGGCGAAGATTGATAAAAAAGGAGGTGTGCGACGTTACATGATTTGTCGCTCCGGTATCACATAGAAGATCATCGGGATTCTCAGGCGTCGCGGTCACAGAGGCCAGTTCGCCAGATTGGAACA